TTTTTTTTTTTTGGTGGTCAACTGGAGATAATAGTCTCATGGACTTTCTTGCCTAGGCTGGCTTTGAACTCCTATCCTCAGATCTGAGCCTCCTGAGTAGCTAGAATTTTAGGCATGGACCACTATTTCTTGGATGACTTGCATACACTTAGTAAGATTGATAAATTTTATGTTACATATATCTAACATGTTGAGTAAAAATAGTAAGACAAGAATTATCAAATAATAATAATAACAATAATAAGGTACCCTGAGCTGATGGATAGCTTCTATTAGAAGACACATGTGCTGGGAAATATTTCACCAAAAATAGCAAATATATAGCCAGGCTTAAATACAGAATGTGCACTGGACACCAATGGCTCATACCTTAATCCTAGCTAATCAGGAAGCTGAGGATCATGAAGCCAGCCTGGGAAGGACAGTCTATGAGACTTTTATCTCTGAGTAAATGGCCAAAAAATTTGAAATGGAGCTGTGGTTCAAGTGGTAGAGCACTAGCTTTGAGTCAAAAAAGCTCAGAGACAGCGCCTAGACCCCAAGTGCAAGCCCCCCCCACACACACTACAGAATGTGCAGCACACACATGCCAGAAATAAAGCAGGACTGGCATGGGGAGAATAGAGCAGAAGCTGATAAGAAGACCTGGGATCCCCCAAATCGGAGGTGGGGAAACTCCTGGGCTGAAGGCCATCTGTCATCCGAAGACCCAGCCTGTGGATGTCAGGGGGCAAAAGTGGGGCTTCCAGAGAGATGAAGCTGTGCCCTGTTTTCTCTCCTATGTGAAAGTTCGATCTAAGTTATAAACATGTATGAAGATACATACAGGTCCCATTCATTTATACACAAACAACTGAAGCATGACATTCGGAGGGAAGGGCTCCAATGGTGAAACTCCTATGAACAACAAACAGAGTTTAACAACATGAACATGGGAAGCTGGAGCATGTGTTATTTGGGGTGAAGGGAACTGGGTGGAGCGGTTGGATGGAGAGAGGAAGAGTGGGTGAATATAATCAAAATGATTAATGGAAGCCAGTAACTGAAGGGTAGTGGGGCTGGGAGGGGTGAGGGAGGATGACAGAAGGGTGATAAGGTGCCTTGAACTCATAAAGTGACATGTTGAACTGAAAGTCCTGTGAACAACTCCTTAAAGATCATTTTTAATTTTTTCATTAAATTCACATTGAGACAGAAAATAGATAAATAAAGTGGAGACCCTTTTCAGGAGGAAGGGCTGACTGTTCCTTCTGCAAGAGAACACACACACACACACACACACACACACACACACACACACACCCTTTGGGGCAGCAGCAAAGAAATCATTCACAGACAGTGAGAAAGAAAGAAGTCACACATGAGTAATTAGCACGTTCAGCCCAAGCCACATATGGCTGTAGGATCTAAATTTATAACACCCATGTAGAATGGAAACCCTAAACTATAAATTTAGCTTCTAAAGGATTCAAGATGAGTGAAACATGAAAGTTTAGCAGAAAGAAATCCAAGACTAGTGTCTATCAGGACATTTGCACAACTTAGTGCAATAGGCTCTCACAGAAAAGAAAAGGGAATGACTCACACTTATAATCCCAGTTATATTGGAGGCTGAAGTCTGAGGATCTCAGTTTGAAGCCAGCCCAGGCAGAAAAGTCCATGAGATCTTATCTCTAATTAATCTCCAAAAAGCCCAAAGTAGAAATGTGACTCAAGTGGTAGAGCACCATCCTTGAGTGACAAAGCTAATGGACAGTGCCCAGGACCTGAGTTCAAGCCCCAGGACCAGCACACAGAAAAAGAAAGAAAGAAAAAGGGATGACCAAGATGAGCTCACAATTTAAAAAAAAATGAATAAACAAAATCCAAAAAATCAGGGCCCTGAGCTTCTTTTGATCAATACTAACACCCTACTAACCTGAGCCACAGTTGCACTTCTGGCTTTTAAAATAACTCATTGGAGATAAGAGTCTTACAAACTGTCCTGCCTGGGCTGGCTTTGAACCATGATCCTCAGATCTCAGCCTCCTGAGTAACAAGGATCACAGGTGTGAGCCATGGGCACCTGGCTGAGTCACACATACTTCAGCAGACACACAGGGGTGGGAGTGAGAAGAGGATGTCCAGCTGAGTGGGGAATACTAATTGGGAGTTGGTCCTGAATCTAGAAAATCCATGGCCCTTTGGGATCAAGGACCTATTTGCGAATGCATGGCTGTGAAGATGGGGCATTGTTCTGGATTGGGGCCACATGCCCCAATGACAGTGGCCCTGGTACCTTTCCTTTGAAGACTCTGAGTTTGTTAGGCCTAGCCCTAGGAGAGGCCCCAATTCTCCCAGTTCTACACTTATGAAATGGGAGGTTCATCCTGTCCCACCACTTGCCTCTCAGGGTGGATGTTTTGGTGTAGGGAGGGCCCTGGAGCAAGGAGATGAAGATAAGGCATGAGAAAAGGAGCAGATGCTGGGCACAGATGGCCAGGACCTGGCTGAGCCAGGACCATCCTCCTGGACAGCAGCTAACAGGATGGCCTGGCCCACGAGACAGCTGACAGAGCCAAGGAAGGGAAGAGAGAGTGAATGCTATGGTTTGCATGTGTTTTCCCCTAGAGGTTCACTGTGCTGAAAGCTAGGTCCCCAGTGTAATGGTACTGAGAAGTGGTGGGGCCTGTAGGAGGGGGAGCCTGGGAAGAGTGATACCATCCTGACTGCCCCTGTAGAAAGAGTGCAGATTACACTGGGTCTTCGGGAGTAGGTGAGATCTCACAGGAGTGGATCAGCTCCTGAGAGACAGCAGGTTGTTATAAAAGGAGTGCCCAGCCCTCCCTGGTCTCTTTATTCCTTCCTCTTTCCTGCAGGCCCTGTCTGCTGCTCTCTCACACACACTCCCAGCCTGCGATGCTGTCTGCCACTGGAACACAGCCAGAGGGACCCTCCCCAGGTGCCAGCACCATGCTGTGTGGATTTTCAGAATCATGAGCCAAATAAGCCTCTTTTCCTCCCACATTACCCAGTGTTGGTGTCATACAACAACAGGACAAGGACTGAGCCAGGAAGAAAGGAGGTAAGGGAGGAGGAGGGGGATAGAGGAAGGAAGAAGGAAGAGGAGGGGGCCTGAGGACATCAGATGCATCCTGCATCCTGTCTCTGATCCCCTCTCCAGTACACTATTCAAAAGCAGCCTTCCACTATGGATCACTTAGCCTCAGTTTCCCCATAGATCAATTCCTATTTGATGACCTCTTTAGGTCTACCTTCCACTTGGCTTCTGAAGCCTGGTCTCATGGCCTCATTGTCAGGCATCTCCTAGGAACAGATCCAAGTCCTGTCTCCCTCTCAAAGCCCTGCCCCTCCCATCTAGCAAGCAGGCATTCGCTTAAGCCTGGCCCCTTGACATGGCTGGCATGGCGTCCCAGTGCACAAGGCCCAGGCCTCAGCTCAACCACCTGCAGCCCCTCCTGCTCAGCACTTACACCCAGAAAGTGTTCAGTGAACACTCTATTAAGGAGGAAATGGCCAAACGGCTAGACGGACGGAGGCCTGAAAGGTAACAACGGCTTCATCTGTTGATCAAGCCCCCAGCCAAAACTTGCTTTCCCAGAAAGCTTCCTGGGGGCTTCTCCAGCCTCACTGTCCTCCCTCAGCCCTTCACTGCCAAACCTCAGCTCCTGCTCTGCTCTAAGGCTCCTCCGATAGTCACCCCACCACCACCACCACCCGCAGCAGATTCCATCACACAGGCCAAGAGTCCACAGAGCCTAGCAATGCCCTTAATTGCCCATGATCCTGACCAGGTTGTTCTAGAACTAAGGAAGCTCCATTGCATAAGCCTGAGATTGATTTGGACAGAAAACCTCATAGAAAACCCCACTGGTGACCCCAGGCTGCCACCACGGCCACCATGCGATTATACACAGGTGTACACCCTGCACATGAGAGAGCAGCACTCACCTTGATGCTCATCCAGTTTCCCCATGCTCTCCATCTGCTCCACCAGGTCATTCGAGTTCCACTGGCTCATTCCAATGAGCATGGCGTTCTTGCCTTCGGCCACCTCCTCTGGGGAAGGAACACAGGAGGCATGAGCCAGCAAGGGCTGTGCACAGGAGCCTGGACAGGATCTGATGTCTGAGGGGCATGTAGCTCATCATGAGTTGAGGTAATCGTCCACTAGCTAAGGCTCCATTTCTAGCAATGACATTATTTTTTTTTCATTTTTTTTTGTCAGTGTGGGGCTTGAACTCAGGGCCTGGGCACTGTCCCTGAGCTCTTTTGCTCAAGGTTAGTGCTCTACCACTTTGAGCCACAGCGCCATTTCTAGTTTTCTGGTGGACAAGAGTCTCAAAGACTTTTCTGCCCAGGCTGGCTTCGAACCGCTATGCTCAGATCTCAACCTCCTGAGTAGCTAGGATTATAGAGGTGAGCCACCAGCACCCAGGCTCACAATGTTTCATTGAAGCATGAAATGTTTGCGTAGAAAAGGCAAGAATCTTGCTACTTGCCAGGGCTTTTTCTTTGTGAATATTATTAGCATTCTCTGAGCCTGAGTTTTCCCAGCAGTGCAGCCCACAGAGGTCTTGTGAAGATGAGATGAGAACACAGTAAGATCTGAGTACACACAAGGTGCTCACAGACAGGAACCATTTCTTTACACGGGGAGGTCACTCACCAGCAGGATTGATCAGATCAGGGTGGGAGGAGGTCAGGGGAAACTCTGCAATAAGTGGAAGGCAGATTTTTCTGGATCCAAGATATATGGAATGGTGCACTTAGCTCCTGTTTCAATTTTGTGAGCTTTTCAATGCCTCCAGTCTTCCCCTGTTCCCTGCCTCCCTGCCCTCTCCCTGTGTGATCTGAGACTACTGTCCTAGCTCACACTAAACACAGACCCTGATCCCCCACCACCCCCATATACCTGATACAGTCCCTCATCCTGCACTGCAACGTTTCTTCAGGACAGACTCATAGGAGTGACCTCGCCCATCTCTGCCTTTCTGGCC